GATGTTATTCTTGGAATAAATCTCATTATATAGAGAAAGTGCTCAAGAAATTTGATGCCTATAACGGTGCACAGTCTAGGTGTAAGACACTCCTTGATCCTAGTATAAATCTGGTAGCCAATAAAGGTCAACCAGTGGCTCAATTGGAATATTCACGGATAATAGGGAGTCTGATGTACTTGACGAATTGTACACGGCCAGACTTGGCCAATCCGGTGAATAAGTTGAGCAGATTTACGAGCAATCCCAGTCATGAGCAATGGAATGCTTTGAGAAGGGTACTTAAGTATTTGAGGTACACCCTTGAATACGGGCTAAAATACTCGAGATACTCAACCGTACTTGAAGGGTACTATGATGCAAGCTGGATATCAGATTCAAGAGATTCTCGCTCCACTAGCGGACATGTTTTCTGTATTGGAGGAGGTGCAATTTCGTGGAAATCCACAAAAAAAAACGTGTATAGCTCGGTCAACGATGGAATCGGAGTTCATCGCTTTAGATAAAGCCGGTGAAGAAGCCGAGTGGCTTAGAAATTTTTTATCCGATATTCCATGTTGGGATAAGACTTTGCCGCCTGTGATGATTCACTATGATAGCCAAGCTGCTATAGGTAGGACGCAAAGCAACTTGTATAACGGTAAGTCTAGGCATATTCGTCGTAGACACAATACCGTTCTTCAATTGATCAAAATGGTATCATTTCCATTGACTATGTGAAGTTTAAGGAAAATTTGGCTGATCCTTTGACGAAAGGATTGAATAGAGATCAATTGGGAAGTTTGCTAGAGGGAATGGGCTTAAAAATCTACAATGTAAAGAATGATCATAGTGGTAACCCTACCATGCTGAATGGAGATCCCATGAACTTGGTTCAAAGGAAAAACTAAGCTATGAAAATTCAGTTGAGCACTTGGAGCATATGAATGTCCAAAGCTATTCCCTAAGAGCATTCCAAGTGTAAGATGACTTGTTGATTGTGGTGAGGGTAAGTCATGTGGACTTTTAATGAATCCCTAACCTTGTAAAGGTGGAGTAATACATGATACTCTTGATAGGGAGGTCACCTATATAAGTGTGAAGTTTGAGCCGCTTCAAATGTACACTTATAATCCAAAGTGTTGTCCATGGCAAAAAACGGACACAACGTTAGAATGGAATGGAATTAAGACTCTATTGTGTGAATGTCATTGTTTCGGTGTACACTATGGAGGAATAGTTCAAGGCATTATGTCCACTAGCCCGCCAGTGCATTCGATGATGTTTACAAAGAAAGGTTCAAAGCCAAAAGCTACCTTTTCTGATGCAGTAGAGTTTTGTGAGAATTGAGCACAATAGCCTATATACATTAAATTTCCACTCATGTGGGGGATTGTAAGAATTGAGTGGAAATTATCAAGTGGAAATTATTAAGTGGGACCCATCCACTTGACTTTGTCCCCCATTTGCCAAATTGAAATGCATGTGCCCACGTGAAGGAAAATCAGATTTTTCCTCTTTCACTTGATCAATATGCTGCCCATGCATGTGCCCATACTTATTCTTTGCTTTTATAACAATAATTGTAATAATACAGTATGGAAAGCCATGTTCTGCTCCCTCACTTTCATCTATTAATATGAGGGTCTTCTGCTGATGGAAGAGACACCAGACGGAAGAAAAAGAATAGAGAGGAAGAAAGGGAGAAAGAAAAGAAAAAGAGATAAAAAAATATTCAGTCCAAATGAATATTTGAGGGATACAAATATTAGTGATAAAAATCGAGAAAAAATATCAGAGATAATTTTATTCCTATTTTTAAGTGCTCAATTCTCGACTCCGTTCCAGTTCTCGCCGGAGCTCGTAAATCTGGTGTGCTACAGATTTAGAGACGTTTGCCGTTGTATCTTTGGAGAAGTTACGCCTGAACCATTAGCTGCCACATGGGGCGTATTCTTCTTGTGGAAAGAGTTTTACCCGCCTCAGCTTTAATCTTTCCGTTTTGTTTTTAAATTTTAATTTATTTTTCAGTTGTAATTTATTTTTCAGTTCAATTGTAATTTTATATTTTAGATTATACATATCAGTTCGTAGGACTCCCGTATAATTTTACACCCAGATTCTAACAGATGTATGAGCTTGAATTCACAAAAGAAAGAAAGAAAGAAAAGAAAGCAAAGCAGAATTGGCGAGCGAGGAAGAAGGTGAAGAAAAGAAGAAAGGGAAAGGAGTCACATTGCGTGTGTGTGTGTGTGTGTATAGGTCTTAGGATTCATTTATCTCCAGTCCACAAACAATTCAGTAGAGGGGATATTAATTAATTTATTTATTTAATTTGTTTGGGCGTGTAAGTTAAGAGAAGTTGTGTTAGAAAATAAGAAAAGGAACCTAAGCCTATTATGTTTTATAAAAGTTGAGAGGTATGAGTCAGTGAGCCAAAGAGAATACGGGCCAAATTAATCTATTTAAGATAATTATATATATTTATTAAGGCCAACCCGCGGCCCGCTTGACCCGCCCCGCCAAAGCCCGCGGCCCACGCGGGATGGCCTGTTTAGGCCCGCTCTGCAACGGGCCTCTAATATCACAACCTGGCCCACCCTTTTGGCGGGGCGGATGTGTTTGTATTTTTTATTATTTTTTATTTGTCCGAGCGGGTCGAAAGATCTTTCTCAAGTCTGTCTTTTTAAGGAAGGTTGTTTGGAACTTTGTTTACTATTAGTCGTCAAAGCACTAAAAGGTAAAATTAAAGATCCTAAACATTAACCTAGGAAATTGAAAGCAATTAACTAAAGGTGTGAATTTTGACTAAAGATTTGAACTTTGCTAACACGGAGTTTCCACTAACTCGAGAAAAATGAAAACAATACACAAAAAATGCAAGAACTAGAATTCTAGGATGATAAAACGAGCTTTCAATCATAAATGGTCGATGCTATTAGATAAGCATGCAATTAACTCTAAAATTACCTTAGACTACTAAAAAACAAAAACTATCCAAACTTAACCAATTCACACCAATTTTCCTCGCTAAACAAACTAAGAGTCACAGGGTTCTTCCTTTTTCTTCTCTGATTTGTTCCTTTGCTGAGCGATGTGGTGTGAAGCTTAATGTTTCTTCACGCCTGGAAGAGTCCATTCTTGATCAGATCTCTATCATCTACACTCTTCAAAATGGGATATATATGCAACATAAGTATCTCCAGGAGAGGTTGTTCCTTCGAAATCTTGTTCGAAAAAAGGGTAGAAGAGACCGACCTTACAAAGCAAGGGGGAGTCACAGAAGTTCAAGTCTAAGGCTAAATCCAAGGAAAAACAACAAGGAGAGATGCACGGTTTGCCTAAATATGTCTAGATGGAGGAGAACTCGGATGAAGGAGTTGATCTGATGTATTATGAGGATTTCTCAAAGTGATGTAGTGAGGTTTTGGTGTAACAAACAATCATCTTCTTTTGGTGTGTTTTTGTTTTGAATATTTGGTTTGTTGGTGGCCTGGTTTATGGCCTTGTTTGAACAATTGCTTTTATTGATTTTCTGCAGGATGAAAAACTGAATGTGGTTCTATGTGGTTCTTCTGCCTTTGGCTTTTATATTTGCTAATGTTTGGCAGTTTTATATGTTTGATTATTTGTCTGGTGCAGGAAAATGATTAGTTTTGTTTTGTTTTGTTCCTCATAGAAACATGTTTGATGTTCTTACTTAGTTGATCTGACCTTATTTTGATCTTACTTTGGACTTGACTTACTTTTGTGACTTTCGAAAATAGAGTTTTCGAACTAAATGTCAAAAAGGGGAGATTGTTAAGATTTTTTAATTTGCATAATTCGAATAATCTCTTTTTACTTAGTTAATTTCCTTGTAGTTCACTTGAAAATGACGCAAGACAAAATAAAGAAAATTTTAATCTTTTTATTATGTTTCCATATTATGTATTTACTGAATATTGAGTTGGACATGCACTAGATTTCTTTCCTTATTTAATGTAGGAACAAGCGGGGTGGAGATCAAAACGCGGCATTATAACTGGGACGAGACATGAGCACGTATGGAAAGAGAATTACACAAATATGGAATCACTGGTACAAGATCTGCCAAATCTCGCATATAAGGAAAGCCGTGTTCTTACATGACTTGGACCTTCCAAGTTAAAGACGATTCTGGAGATCTTGATGACTTGTCAATGAAGGAAACTTACTACCGTTGAAGATTTTGAAAACCGTTTACCAAAAGAGGACACACATGTATTCAGAATTCTTCACCGTTGCGTTGTAGTGATTGATTGAGAGGGAGAGGGAGAGAGAGAGAGAGAGAGAACTCGAGATATTCTGAGTTTTTCTTAGAGTTTTTGAGAGCTTAATTTTGATTTTATTTGATAATTTTAGTCGGACTTACAATTCGTGTTCTTACGAGCTGAAAGTTTGATATCTTCCTTTTTATCCTTTTATTACAACACTTGGGATAAATATTCGTATACATGTGGAAGAATTCACAATAGGTTTTGAAGTCTAAGAGATTGGCCAGAAAAGTAGCTAGGGAAGTGGAGCGTGAGGACAATTAGATTAAAAGAGGGTTCTAATCTCATAAATTTATATTACACACAATTTTCTAGTAAAAGAGTTCTGAGGGAAACGGAAGGCTTTTTTATTGCAATTTTGTTTAAATCGCTTCCGCTTTATATTTTGTGTGGTTACATAAATTTGCAACTGTACGCTCCCCCACACTCTTCAATTAAAATATACCAAATTCATTAACTTTTAGTTCCTATTGTCTTTTACAAAATCATTCATTGTTTTATAATAGTACATATTATTGTATTAAGGGAGATGTGACTATTAGTAACAACTGAAAATAAGAAATTAGTTCTAAACATGCCCAAAGTGTTAGCCTCTATATAGGTATATATAATACAATACATTACTATACATAGAGGTTGTGGCTAAATTCTTTACCATGCAAAGTTGGGTAAGAGCAGCTTGAGAGTTGAAACCTACAACACTTGCACCTAGCCTCAAGTTCTTGGCAAACTTCCAAAATACAAAATGGATATACTTTCTTTTTTCCTGGTTGTAATATTGTTTCAGTAGCTGATATAATACACAGTCAAATGCTAGTCCCATATGTCACTTTGCTATGAAATTAACTAAGGATTTCAGGACTTGAGGTTAAAAAAAAAAAAAAAAAATTCTCCCACCAAATTTCTAGAAAATAACAATAGCTTGAAATTCGAACATACGCTGCCCGAGAAAGTTGGCTAGTTATCATCTAACAAATACTTGTTATTTGGACTATCAGTAAATTTACTTTTGAAGTCGGGCAAATCAGCAACAATCTACAAAAAGTGCTATCATTGTATTTGGAAAGCTGTGGGGAGAAGAATGGTGTTGGCTAGCTCTTCATTCACCTGTGGAAGCGGAGGCATTTTCTTCATCGTGGGGCCCATCTCGTTCAAGCTGAGATTCAACGCAATTAACAGTGAGAAATACGCACGAGCAATAGTGAAGCTTATCGACATGTAAAGAACATCAAGAGAGAGAGAAAAAAGAATAGCTAGGGATGTTTAAAAAAATATATGTACCCTTAAAGTTAAATCCTTTTGAGAAACAAAAAGGAAAAAAACAATTCAACTTCTCTATCAAAATTTTTACAAATAGTAGTATTCTTACACGATACACCAAACTAACCAACTAATTATAATTAATCAAGAGCCAAAATGGTCTTTACGATGACAAATGCATTTCAAATATGTGTTTCGAAAGACAGAAATAGTGGAAGAAAGAAGAGAGAAAATAGAACTTACTGCTTAATTTTGTCCCCTTCACTATTTCCCTAAATCTTACTTTGCTATATTTGTAGAAACTATCAGAATCGTTAATCATGTATAACACTCAAGTATCTTCAGGAAGTAGATTACAACACTTTGCACTGTATTATCACTTAGAGTAAGCTAATGTTGAGCACAAGTAAAGTATTTGATATTTTTGAAGGAAAGAAGAAAATTAACCAAAACAAAAATGTTCTGTCTATAGGTGCAAACTGACATTTAGCATATATTTACTGTGAGATTAAAACAATAAAACCAGCAAAATCTAATAAAACATCAGTCAAGAGACTAACGACTTACTTGCTCAATATTTTGAATATGTTGTCTCGAGCTTGGCTAAGAAGACAAATGTTTTCATGCATCTGAAGGTGTGAGGAACAGAGAAAAAATCAGTTTCCTGAAAACGTCTTTTTCCTTTTTTTCATTTCTCGTTAGTGTTAATGAAATTGCACAGGTATAATAAAAGATNAAAAATACAGCCCACAAACGATGAGCACGTGAAACAAATCGTCTAGTAAATATATCAATAAGGTAGACAAATGTAGACTAAGCAGGACACAAAATAGTTTCTATGTAGATGCAAGTGCTACAAATACATTATTATTACCTCCACCAGTAAATATTCCTCAAACTGTTAAAAATGTGTAGAAAGTGGAAATCCATAATCGAGAATAGCCAGGAAAGCAAATTATTTAAAAAGCAATACGAAAGTTTTACTTGATGAGTGGCAAGATTTGTGGATATCTGTTTAAAAGCCCAAGCATTTTGCTGCAGCAGCTGACGGGTGGCTCCACCAACATCTGCATAACAAAAACTGATATATTAAGGTGATAACAGGAAAATCAAATTATGACCAAAACATCATAACTTGGAATACATCGCTATATAAACTCTTTTGGCTTGGATCAAATTAAGAACATGGAATACCGCTACAAATAATAAAGTTAGAAAGACTATGGAATTACTTAAACAACACAAAAAAATCCAGATTAATTTGAAGATACAGTTTTTGCAAACAACGTGGAAGTTCATAACATTAAAAAATGAAGTGATGCTAAAGAAGACGAATATATCCAGATTAAAACCAAAGCCAATATTTCAGAAAACGAGCCAACCATTGTATGAGATGATGTCATCATTGAAATTGGAAACCATTCCAGGAGCATGAGATAAACCCGACTGCATCCCCAAACGAGAAGGCTTTGCCAAGGATTCAATAACCTTTTCCTGACAAAAGAATGTGATATTCCATGAGCTGTCAAAATTGCACATAGAACATAATTNAAGCATGTCAAAACTAGCAGAATACTGGAAAAGAGAACATTTGTACTTAGTCTCAAGAGTAGTAGTTTTGATCACCCAATCATCGTAAAATAAATTATAAGTACCAATCGTGACATTTAGGAATAAGAAAAAATAAAGGTTCTCATAGAGTCTACAGTACTTTGTAAAATTGAAGTACAGGCAGATTATAAATGTGGACTCATTACCCATTTTGGTAAACAAGTCTTTTGCAACCTTAGTGTAATGGCATTTAGAATTAAATAAAGAAGAAACAGCCTTGGCTCCACAGTATACTCATAAATAATATTTGAATTTGAACATATTCAAGTGAAGTACTTACTTTTCTGTCTTTGATTTTCCGAGCGTTGAAGTCCTCTTTCCTTCTCTTGCAAATATCTTTCTTCTGCAAAGTTGAATGAATCGCTCAAGATAACAGACACTACAATAATAGATACGCCAACCAAATTCATCATTGACTAATCTGAATATTGAGAGTATTAATGAATACCAGTGACACACACACAAATATACACACATATATATATATGGTAATAAAAAAATAAAATAAAAATAAATTAATAAAATTCTGAGAGTTAGCAGAATATGTAAAAATAAACTTACGGTCATCCATCTACAGCGCAGTGCCACATCACGTACGGTCTTATTTTTTAGCAGCACGGCAATTTTTGCATATCGGACAATGCTTGTCTCGGAGGCATATCTACAGGTAGTATTATTCACAAGAATCTACAAGTCAATACTCATCAAATCCTAGTCGTGACATACTTCAAAATCCAAGATAAAGAATTACAGAGAGACTAACTAAACATTGCCTGACACTTAAAAATACACAAATTGCACCAAATAAAAGATGAAAAAGGTTCTAGCAAAATTTTTTAAGTAATGTGGCTATATAGTTGTGAAAATGGGTGCTAAAGTTAAAAGTCATGCAAATGTGAAGGGATACGGTCTTTATCAAATGAATTAGATGAAAAAGGAAATCATATATCAGAACTTGCTGAGAGAGAGAGAGAGAGAGAGAGAGAGAGAGACTTTTCTTGGACCAACAACGCAATCCAGGTAACATACAAGAAAATGTGAAGATATTACAATCACAGAAGAATCTTGAAAATATTGTTAGATCTATGCAAAGAAATTGTGAATATGTGAATAATATAATATGGTAGATCAAACATTTCAATCTTCACTGGGATGCTTCCTTTTGAAAAAGAAAAAAAAACAGTAAAGCAGATTCCCATTGAAAGAGACTAAAAACATCTTATTGGGAAGAAAGGAATCTTTTGAGACACAAAGAACAATTTTTGTGCCAACCAAATCTGAGGAGGAAACTCAAGAGCAGAATTGAAACGTAATTCAAACTACAGAAAAGGACAAATCACTCACAAGTCTCTAAGCTGACCGAGAAAATATATCTTGAATCCATACATAAATCTTCTAAGACAAATTATAATATAATCACGGGCAACCCTACTTATTTAGTCTCTCCAAACAGATCACAATCTAGAATTAATACCTCAGAACCAATCAGAGTCTCTTAACAGAACNACACCAGCATAAAGACTTACTGACCAAAAAAGCAGCAAACTTTCCATAAAAAATACAGAAACAAGAAAACAACAACCTAGTACTCAACGCTAGTCTGAACAAAAACAAAAAAAGATGTATAAATTTACTGACTTGCACAAACCCTCCTCCAATATGGCTTGTTCTTCATGAGTCCAATCCATAGAAATAGTTTTCTGGTGCTGAAAAGTTGGCACACCCCACTCTCCATGCACAGAGGCTCCACTGTAAGAACCAGACACAGAAACATTCCCCTGCAGATTATAATTATTACAATTCCCCTCTTTGTAAGTCCCACTTGAAGTGGCCATCAAAACATAAACATGCACAAAACAAATCTCAATATTAATATGTTATGAGCAATTCAAGCTTGGACCAGTTTAGGGGACTCAAGAAAAAAAGGGGGGAAATAAAAAAGGAATATTTGCAAAAATAAAACTACAATAATGAAAATTGTAAAGGCCCTTTTGCGGAGAAAACGAGGATGTGAGGATTGGGACAAGGATTGAGTTGAGCTGAAAGAAATATTGTTGAGGTATTTGGAAATTTCAAGGGGCGAGAATATGAAGGGGAGAAAAAAAGAGAAAGTAATGGGGAATCTGAAAGTGCACGTAGGGGAAGGAAAAGGAGATGGCAAATAGTAACAAATGGAAGAGCTTTTTGGTGGTGTGCCTATTTATATATTTTGGTTGGTTGGACGCGTGTGACAAAAAGGGATATGATTGATGCTTACTAAAATTTGAAAACTCATTAGTCCTACAAAATTTGAAGAGGTGTAATATAGGTTTCATTTAATGCTAAACTTGTACGGTTGGGAGTATGTGTTTTGCGGTTAAAACAACTAGTACGTGTCTTGTGCGATGCACAGTGCAAAATATTACAATTATATTATAATTTAAATATATAAACAATAATAATTATAGTTTTCCTTTTCAAAATTAGATCGGACTGAATAGTCCGACCGAGTGAACCGCGAGTTAATTTATCTATCAATCAGGTTCGCTTGAATCAAATGCTTGTTTGTAGACCGATCACTCGAACTGGTACGATTGTTACATAAATTTTGTAACATTTAAAATTATTTTTGATATGAATAAAAATAAATATTTAAATAAAATAAATATTAATTAATATTAATAAACTAAATCCTGGTCTACCAATAATGTATTTAATAAATAACATGATCGGTTCGATGATGGTCCGCTTCTGAGAAACTTTGATTTACCATACATTAATAAAAGTTGTAATGCAATATCATTTTGTTTACATAAATATTCACAAAGTGTTATATAAATATTCATAATCATTGAACATATTTTCATAAAAATATTCTTGGGGCTTGGATTACATTACATTTATCGTAATAGAATTTATAATATTAAACTTTCTATGTAGTTTCAATAATTGATTTGGTCTGGTCAAATTGACCCATGATCAAGGATCAACCCTAGTTGTGTCATGGTTTTGGACCATTTTAAATATTATTTAAAGTTAATTTAATCAACATGGGCAGTAACCGATTTTAGTTAGCCGATTAATCCAAAAAAAATTTCTTATTATTCCTTAAATATATTAATTTTATGAAATTATATCAATTGAAGGCCTGAATTTTATTTTTTCTCAATGGAAAGCTTACATTTTAGGTTATTATCGATTTAAGGCTCACTTTTCAGCTAACTTCTCATTGTAAAGCTTAACTAACATTACTTTTTGACATAAATATGTGAATCGATTAACTTTATTTTATGATATAGTTATGTGAATAAAAATATTTTTTTTTTGTAATTTATATTTTACATACTTATAATAAAAAATGATAAATATCTTTTATAAAAATTCCTTAATAAGAAAATGAAGCTATATAAATTATATTTATGCAAAACTTTAAGAATTATTATATAAGAACATTGATAAGTGAATTTGAAAAATATGTAAATATTATTTTTATTAATAATCTAAATATGTAATAAAACTTAAGAAAAATAATATTTAAATCAGTCTACAAAAATATATCATTTTCAACCAACAATGGCATGGTATCAACTTTTGCGTCCAACAAGAAAAGTTAAAATCATGAAAAGCTAAAATAAAGACAATATTATTTAAACATTATTTTTTTAATTGTATTACATATTTATATTATCAATAAAAATAATATTGCAATTTCATATTTTTCAAATTGTAATTTTTTAAAAATAATCATTATCAAACGTTTGCATAATTCTAATTTATATCTTTTCATTTTATTATTAATGTAATTTTACTAAAAATATTTATTATTTTTATTATAAGTATGTAAAATATAGATTACAAGAAGAAAATAAGAATAATATGTTTGTTCACATAATAGTCAATTCACATATTTATGTGAAAAAGTAAAGTTAGTTAGACCTTAAAATGAGAAGTTAACTAAAAAAAGTAAGTCTTAAATTGAGAATAACCTAAAATATAAACCTTCTATTGAAAAAGAGCAAAATTCAAGCCTTAAATTGATACAGTTACAAACAAGTTGGACCTTCTAATAGAATTTTTCCAATGAAATAGTTCATGTAACAAATGTTTATAATAAATAAAAATATATTAAGATGGTAGATTATATATCTAAAAACAAATAAATTATTTCTTACTTTATGCATGTTTATATAACTTATGCTTTTTAAAGAAAATTATTTTCGATAAAATATACAATGCTCAAAAGAAAAAAAAAATCTATAGAATTTTCTTTTTTAGTAGCTAAAGTGCTTAGTAAAAAACTAGACATACTATTTTAAATAAATACAAGTATATGTTTAGAGATGTGTATTTTATTGATAAACTGAATAGTGTGGATTATGTAGATTTGTAAGCATCAAATTACACGATCATTAGCAAAATAAATGGGTTTTTCAAATTTTTTTAAGTATTGTATGAAACTTGATTAAATAGTGAACTTTTTTTTAAAACACCCTACATGATGGACTTATTTAAAAAAATTGCCAACATAGTGGACTAAAAATAAAATTTTGCGTATAACTTCATTACTTCTATAATTACCGATTAACATTTAAGACTTAATTATTTTAACCACTTCGCGTAAGTGTGAGTTAAAATGTCAAACTATTGAGTTGTTATAGCTACAAATCGTCGGGCTTTGCGCTAATTTTGATTTTGAAAGATCCATTCCCCTCCAAGCTGAGTTGGATACTTGGATATGGTTTGACTAATGGTGTGATATAATTTTTGTAAATGTGGAACGTATGTTGAAACTCTTGTGTAATTATTGGAAATACTCTCTTACCCACGATGGACAAATGTTAATATGTCCACCGTTTATGTGGCATGCATACATTGGTGATGTATTTTTTTTAATATATTAACATCACCAATGTGTGCATGCCACATAAGCTGTGAGCATATTACATGTGTCAACCGTGGATAAGGGAGCATTTCTCGTGTAATTATATATGACTGATTTTTAATTGCCTATATATATCCCCTGTATACATTGATGTACCCCAATTTTGTGTAGACTTTGTGTGCTTCGTAATATTATGTTTCAAATTTTAGCATTTTATAATTTTATTTGTACCTTGGAGTGTCCATGTATATCTAGATTCTATCTATATCTATATATATAATTGCTACCCAAACATTTAAAAAAACTTCAAAATTTTTGCCTCCAAAAGACTTGCTTTGCATTACTTAAGTTTTTATATTTTTTATTTCTTTTATTATATAATAACTACTACTAACAAATCATAAAATCACATTCAATGACTATTTATTTAAATTATTATTTTTTTTGTTTTAACTCATTAAACAAGTTTTTTATTAATATTAGTTATTTAATTTTTATGATATGACCAAACTTTTTACAGTTTTGTACACAATTGTTATAATAATAATAATTTCAATATTGTTTTATATAATCAATTGTTCATAATTACAAAAGACTGCAAAAGTTATATAACGGCAATCGATATAAAGATTAATATGTAAGTTAATAGTTTATGTTCATCGTTCATTTTTATTAATGATAAAATTTATAAAATGTGATATGCTCATCATCTAATTTATGATTTCAATATTATATACACATACATATAACATATAAAATTTTATTTGCAATTGTGCAGGTGCACATGATCGAATGTTAATATATATAATTGCTGACAGAGCAATAAATAAAACCAAATTAATAAAATCTTCATAATTTTCCTGCTCATTTTTTCAATTAATGAAGAAACGTTACATTTTACATTAATAAAGTGTAATAATAATTTTAAACTAATTTATTATATAATATTACTACTAACACTAATTGATTATAATTTTACATTAAATAGTATGTGGAAGTTACATACTTATAAAAAAGTGTATTGAAATTTTTTTATTTAAAATACTTTTTGTAAAATAATATATTTTTTGTTTTTTTAAGCGAGTTTTATCTAATATTAGTTAATTGGCATGAGTGTCATAATTAAACACCTTAAAATCACATAAACAATTTCTATGACAATAATAAAAATAATTGTAATACTTTTCTAACTAATTAATTGTATGATCCCTCTAAATTACTAAATTATATTGTCCATTAAAATTTATGGTATCAATATAAATATTCATACGTAAGTTAAATAATTTATATTTACATTACACAATTGTATATAGTCAAAATTTAAAATGTAATATATCCATTATCTAATATAAAATTTTATATATTGTATACATAGTACATACATATAATATATAAATTTTTATTTTTCTTTGTGCATGTGCACAAGATGAATACTAGTTCATACTTATTAGGATGTTAAAATTTTAAAACACTTGCCTAATTTAAATAATAAATAAATATTTTAAAAGTTAATAACTTTTGAATTTATTATTAGTTTGTCATATATAATATATCAAATTAATCGTATTTTGACAAGTTTCGATTTGATATCCATATTGTAGATAAAAATAAATAAATTATTATATTATTTATTATAAAATTAAATTTATTAATAATAATTAAAAATTAATAAAATTATATCTCAATTAAAAACATTGTCTATAAATTCAATACATTTGAATTAGATATTATATTATAAGATGAAAAAATTATACAAGTAAAAAGTTAAATTTAAATATAAATAAAAATGAACTTATAAAAAATGTGAAGATTTAAATAAAAGAACTTCTCTTTTATTTTTTTGTAGGAATTATGGTAAATTTATTTAGTAAATTTATATATCAATTAAAAAAGTTATCAATATATTAATTACATATGAATTAAGAAATTATAATATAAGACAAACAAATCATATAACGAAAGAGTCTCATTCCAAGTATAAATAATAATACAATTTCTTGAAAAGTATTTGAAATTTAAATAAGAAAAAAAACCTTCTCTTTTATATTTAGTTTTATATTACAACATATTTTTTTTAACTAACACCCGTGTAATCACATGCTAGTACATGTATATTGCATATGATTCATTTTTCATTAATTATCATAAAAGTATTACAACGCCAAAGCCATTAGAAAATGTGAAAATAAATTTGCAGTAGGCATAATAAATTAAAATTTCTTAGAATATAATTATAAATAAACAGATATAGTAGACTATATATATATATATATATAATATGGGTTTTCAAATTAATAAATGCAATATGGGTATCTATTCAAACATCGTAAAAAATGATTACTTGATATGTTATAGTATAAATTGAAAAAAATAATATAATGAAAAAAAAAACTTGGAGTGT